TGTTATTATATGATTATTTCTATATAATATATTTTTAAAATGTTTGTTTGTTTCAGGCATGGTCTCGGTTTGATTGTAAGACGTTGGGCGAGTATTCCGACCTGTATCTTAAAATCGATGTGTTGTTACTCACCGATGTGTTTGAAAACTTCCGTGATGTATGTATGCGGACATACAACCTGGACGCAGCCCACTATTTMACCGCCCCCGGCTTAAGACGCGATGTTGAAGTTCACGGGGCAGAAACTTGACCTTCATTTACATAGATTACATCGCGCACACTCTTGATGAGTTTTTTTCTTATTCCTCAGTTATTATAATAGGTATGTTTGTCTTTAAAAGTTTCTCTATTTTCCTGCTTACTTCSACTATTGCTTTCATAAAATGACCTGTGACGTCTAGACTGTCCTCGATGCCCCTGTATATTACCGGGTCCGTAGTTATACCGTGATCGGACAACAGMTAGAGCGGGACATCATCGCTGGCCTTAACTATGAAGCCGTAACTCATAGCGTCATGTCTCTGAATAACTTTAATGTTTACACCTTTATTTTCGTCAACCTTTACTAGCAAGGCCTCAAAGTCCGCGTAAATGACTATGGGATGTCTCTGTGTTTTTCTCCACGCGTCGAATTGCATACATTCACYCTCTTCCGGCATCTGTGGTAAAATAGGCTTGTGTACCCCGYAAATCAGTTTATGTTGGTCAGAACTTCCTGTCCGCTCGGCTTGTACTTCAAATTCTGGTTATCGAAGCTCGTGAAACACCTCTTACAAAAAACAGCGCGACAGTCATGTCTAGTTTTTTGCGATCGTATCAACCGAGAAAAGTTCGAAATATACGCATAGTGAGAATTCTCACCGTCCGCCACTAACAGCAGGTCAAAATGATCCTTCTTTTCTTCATCGACTAGGTACACGTAGTGGGTATACCTCAAACCTAGGTACTTTAGGTATTTKGAACTTTTTTTCAAGTCCGTACACATTAATAGAAACATTTCTATTATTTTTCTCAAATTTAGTAATGTCCGATAAAGGTGTGGGGAACGTGATGCCGTCGAAATTGTATTTATCCACGTGTTTAAAATAATTTTCTCCTACACAATATTTATATTTATCAGATAAATTATTTGCCACATGCCTAGCGAGAATGGCCCACTTGATACATTTTTGATCCGTGTTTTGTGGGTTTATTGTTGCACCCTTCCTATCGATATATTCAGGTAACTGAATAAATGACGAACAAGCTATCGGTGTATAATAATTATACACCACTAACAATAACCCATCTATACTTTCCAGTGTAAATCCACTTCCACGTGATTTGTATTCTTCTTTTTCCTTCAA